GTGTAAAACTCTGAGAAAACTGTCATCAAAGTCGTCAACTCAACCCTCCCCGGTCAAGCAAGCCCAAACAGCCCCTTCACCCTCCTAACAACCTCGCTCTTCATCGCCTCCCTCCCGCTCACCGTCCTCTGCACCGCGTCCCGGTTCTCGTACGCCCTTCTCAGCAAGTACTTCATGCACTCCCCCGTACTGCCCCAAACCAGGTACTTGTACGCGCTCATCTTCTTTTTCTCTTCCCTATGATTCCCAGCAACCAGCTCGCAGCTAACCTCATCCGCCATCCCCTGCAGCTGCGCAAACGCCACATCCACTTCCTCCCTCGCCGTCCCATCAGCAATCAACCTCTTGGCCTTGAGCACAGAATCCCTGTTATGCGTAGCCAGCACCACTGCCATATCCGGAAACCCTCCCTCTCCTTGCAGGGGGAAACTCCACTCCTTCTTCAACAACCCTTCCGCGATCCCATCATACGCCCTATCCGTCCCCTCCTTCGTATCGTGTATAATATCCCGCGGGTCACTCCCCAGATACGCCCCCCTGACCAGTTTAACTCCCAGCGTAAACCCTTTCTCTCTCGCCTCCTTCAAGTGCCGACTCAGCGTCTCCCCCGTGGACTTGAGATAGGCCTGGTAAGTGTTATAAATCACCGCCTTGCCCCCCGTGTTATACTTGCGCATATACCGCATCGTCCACTCATCTATCCCTCTCTGCACCGCATTCTGCTCGGCATCAAACAAAAGCCTAACCCCCCTCTTTTGCGCCAATTCGCAAATAGTATCAATCGCCTCCCCTAGCTGCTGCGGCGGAGCCTCGCCGGGACGCTCCTTCAGCGCAAAGAGCGCCTGCCTCCCCGCCCCTGTAAACTTGAGTGCGACAAAATCCCCCGGCTCGGCAAGTAAAACCGTCATCAACGTCCCCGTCGCCCACGGTCTGACTTCGTTGTTGATACACTCCTCATCCACCAAAGAGGCTGCAGAGAGTTGTTTCGTCTGGGCCTCGGTCAAGACGACTTCTCTTGCGTACCCCAAAATGACGCCGCTGAAGCCAATGTCTTTGAGGGACTTGATAGTCTTTTGCACTTCAGCAGGGTGCTCGCCGGCGCAGAACTGGGCGTAGAAAGTTTTTTTGAGGAAAGAGTGCAGCAGTGGATTGCGGTCGGGGTTGAGGACTGGTGAGGAGGTGTGCGCCAGGACGGACATGGCTGCTAGTGAGGGAGGGAGAAGGACGGGTGACGAAGAGACGGCGGTGGTCATCCATGACCTCAAGACGTTGGTCAAGGGCAGGACGGATAATGGGGATGGTGTTGTTGGTGGTGGCATAGTTGCTGTGGTGGATTCTGGTGAGAAGTCGGCGGCGTCTTCTAGTGTCAGATTCCCAGAGGGTGACGATTGGGTTGAAGAGGAATGAAGTGATCGGGTCGTCGTGGTTGAGGTTGCCGAGGATGCCTTTCTCGTAGAAACGAAAGCAGGAACTGTTCTTGGAAGAGTAGCAGTTGCCCGTGTCCTGGCCATGTTGCTCACTGGGAGCATGCCCGGGAGGGATTTGTGAATTGGTGCCATTGTAGTAGGAACAAGAACCCAATGGCAGGATGTTTGTTTGCCAGCAATAGGTCGAGATGGGATGATAATTGATACGTGCCAATCGTTTGCAAGAGATGGAGACGAAGAGAGTTGAGGAAGATAAACGACAAATGCGAGGGAAACAGAGTTCAACCGCAAAGCTTATATGGTTTGACGATCGGCTACTTGACGCAGACCCCTCCTCCTCCTCCTCCCCTCATCATGGATAGATACCTACATGCAGACAGGAAGGAGATAGGTAATAATGCATTTCGCCGTTCATCATTTCCAGGGTTGGCTTCTCCAATCTCTGGTTCTGTCCCGGTATCGCACACGTTGATATGCCGTGACAGCCAGAACATGCCAGAAACCCACCAATCCCAACGGGCTCGCACACAAGCCTGCAGGCGTTGATTTGCCATTGAGTTCTGACGCCCCCTTTGTGTTGCTTCCGTCACTGTATGCCCATGATGTTATCGCGGCTCCTTATCAAACGCTCCCCGGCCTCCCCACATTCCAAAGGCCGCAAGTAGCCGGGGCTGTGGAGAAGAGTCGTCTGCCGTCATCGATGAATTGGCCCCGCTCCCACGCTTCTTTGGCGCTCTCGACTCATTCCACGACTGCGCCAAGCTTCCTAGCGCGTCGTCAGCGGCAGTTTTGATGAAGCATTCAATTGAATTGACAGGTCCGGCTCTCGTAACCACCAGCGGCTTAAGAACAGCTCGGAGAAATCTTCATCTCGACCCGAGTCTAAATCCTCCAAATCCCACGCGATAAAGGAACTTTAACCCACTAGCCGGTGTTCGGAGGGCGGCTGATGTCGGCGCTGCACTGCCAATTGATAATGTCAATTGATCAGCCGGCAAGGTCATGTGGTCTTATGTCTGCGCTTCGCTCGCTGCGGTGGACCAAAACCAAAAGGGTTTCGTCGGTTCCTGATTGCAAATGCAAGCCGGGTGGTTCCATCCCGAACAGGGTCGGGGCCGGACCGACAAGCCACAATCTGATATAAGAATGTTGTTGGCGTGTAGCATCCGATCTGGGTGTGGCAGCGCCTCGTATTCTGTCGAGGCAGACCAGCTGTTGTCTCGCTCATGCACTCTTCGTCTTCTCCTTCAGTTTGCGAAACTCGCGTTTGGCATCTTCGACATAGGGGAGTTTTCGACCGTGGAGGGTGCTCATAAAGTCTTGGGCTCCTCCGTAGAGGGTTCCGACGACCAGGGCGGCCTTGGTGGTGCGGGCAGCCATGGGCAGCGAAAATCGATCTGCACGTAGAGTGTGGTCAGTATCACCTAGAGGATATCACCATTAAGCACCGTCAACGTACTCCACAGACTGAATCCTCCTGCGACAGTGACGAGCGAGGTGATGGTGTTGAACATGTCCGGAGCCCCCCGGTAGGTGTCAAACATGTGCTCAATCGCCAACATCGCTGTCGTCCAGAACGAAATCTTAAATCCCATCTTCAGCCCCTCTTTCACGCCTCCTCGTGCAGCCCTGTAGTTCTTGCTCTTGTGGTAGAGGTACCAGCCGGTCGTGGTGGTGGGCAGCTTGTGTGCGTGCTCAGCCCGGAACTGGAGACCGGCGGTCCTGCTGCCATGGCCCGCTCCCAACAGGAAGCCGGTGCCAAAAGATAGCAGAGAGGCCATCGGAAGCCGAAGGCCGGTCGGAATGGAAAGGCGGGAGTTTCGGTAGAACTCATCGATCTCCTCTTTCGTCAGCGTCATTTCGCCGAGTCGCGGGGCCTCGGAGGCCAGCTCGGGGTTGACGATGGCTCTCGCCTGTCTGATTTCGTCCGTCGTCTTCTGTTCCTCCATTTTGGCGAAATTTGTCCTTGTTGCACGGTGAGTTTTGTGATCGTCGACTGCAAGCTGGACGATTCCCATCAGTGGGAACTGGTGATCTCCTTGTGTCGGATTGAAAATGTCAGGAGGCCCAAGCTCCCCGCCTTGGCCCACCGTTTGGTGCTACCCCAAGCTGCATGACAGCGGTGCCCCTCCACTCCATATGGAAGCTACGGTCCCCTGGTCAAGCTCTCAGTTCCATCATCCCATCGTCAACTCTGCGCCTGGCCTTTCGAGATTCTGATAACTATTGCGCACTTGCCATCTCATTGAAAGAATATCGCTGTACTTGGTAAAAAGGATGGTAAGTTGAGCAATGTCTTTCTGTCTTTTCTCTCTGAATATTCCCAGCTGATAGCTTCCAAAGCCTCCCCGCGCAGCACCAGTCGACGACTCCCCCACCGCTTTAACCCTGATCCTCAAGCACGGCACAGCGACAGTATTCCTTTTCGCGTCGCCATCATGGACATTCTCCGAGCTCAGCTCTAAGCTATTTGCCTGCATCCGCGACCGATTTCCCGACGGCCTCCCCACGTCCAAGATCCCATTCAAGACCACAGCCGTCCCGACCGCCGAGGAGGAAGACGCGTGGAGAATCGTCTACGGTGTGCAAAAAGACAAAGAGAATGTACGGAAAGGGTTCAGGGAGCTGCGCGCAGAAGATACAGACACACTTCGGTCTAAAGGTCTTCAAGACCTGACTACGATGGCTTTCTCGCTGGTGAGGCAAGATGAGCTTGGGGCTGGACATTTCGAGGTTGTTTTCCCTGATCAAGACTAGGATATTGGCAGGAATTCGGTACCATCGACGGATGTTTAAGAGTTGCATGGAGTGATTTTGGCTTGGGGTATATTGGGGACAGGCGTTCAAGGAGTCCACGTCGGTAATATCAATAAAAGGAGCTCGGGACTGATGACGGCATCAGGAGTTTTGCATTTTTAGTAGAGGGGCGTTTCGTTGAGATCTGGTTCGGTTCTTATTCATTTAATCAAGGTACGCCGATGGGTTTTGCTTTTTCTGCACAGTTGGGATACTCAGTTTTGTACATATGGGAATTGAAGATGCGCGGTTGAGCGTGCCTGAGTGCTTCCTTGAGGTGAATGCGAAGGCAATGAAAGCTAGACATTGGCCTCGAAGGCCCCCTCGGGAGGAGCTGTCGACCGTGGTCCTTACTTCTCGCCGCCATTGCGATCGGTTCAAACGGACCACTCCGGCCATGCTCAACTGGGTGTCTTCAATACCTACATGTGCACGTTGAATATGCCATCATGCAAGCTATTGGGCAAATGCCATTCAAGTTAGACGCAATATAGCTAGAGAGGGCATACACAAAAATTTATTCTTGATCCGGGCAACGGCAGATTCTCGATGACCCATTGGAGCTGCAAGATGCCATCACAATCCAGGTCGAATGGGCTGACCAAGCGGCGCAGAAAGCCGTCTCTATAGCAATCGACCAAAACAGTTCAATAACAAGTGGGAAATTGAGTTTGCAAGGTGATACGGTGTGTGTCGCTAAGCTATGAAAGTTTCGTGCAGAATGATGTTGTTAATAAACTCTGATTTGTGGAGCAGTTGTCACAAATCATTCAGCACGGTTGTGTAGTGTAGTGGTTATCACTCTGGATTTTGAGCTCATCACTCATCACTTCCAGTAACCCCGGTTCGAACCCGGGCACGACCTCATGTTTTGCATTTTTTCTCTCTTGCCATTGAGACTTTTGTTGAGAACTATCTCTTGGTTCAAGACTTTTCTTTTTGTCATTTTTTATAGGTGTCGAAATAAATCCAACACTTGAAAGTCTGTAGCCGGAGACAAGGAGCTATAATTCTTAACCACTCATACGTGTTGTTTTTTAGATGGCGGACATAAGTAGCGCTGGTAGTAGGTGATACGTGTAGACACTCATGGGTTGCTCGTTCATCCATTTCAAGAATCCTCATCCATGCCGAGCAGTTTTCCAACGTATGGTCAAACAGACATGTGTTGATTGAAGTCTTAGGAGTCTGAACATGACCCTCATAGAAATCAATTTGCATACTTGAGCTTAACTTCCCGAGCTTCGATCTCAAGTTTGCTCAATCAGAGCTTGTCATATTACGAGGGCTTATCGCTGATGTTTGGTATACCGGCTAGATATCTGCCAGAATCAATCACTCATATGGTTTGTAGTGATGCACCGAGCAGGCTGGCTGACATTGCCGAACTCGGTGGATCTATACGTTCGTAAGAGGAAAGATTCGTTCTAAAGTTTGACACATAGATGTACCCGAGGTGTTTAGCTGGTGGGACAACATCTACTATGCTTCATGGCCACAACGACAGCGGCAGTATGAGGCGTGACTGTTCCAAGAGAATCCGAGAGAACTTGCACCTTGTGAATTGTCTCTACAACTTGAACCTTATTATTAGGCCGTGATTTTCTCCGATGAACGCCGTCAGAACCTTAGATATGATGGCCTCACCAGTGATGCCTGCGGTTTCTTTGGGAACCTTGAGGGGTGACTCAAGCAAACCGTGGACACAGAAAAGTTTAAATGACCACCACCTACGTGCCTACCTAGAGATATATAAACCCTTGAATGATCCCAGCGCTCACTTTCTCACTTTTACTCCCAACCTCACTGATACTCCCAAACACCTCCAGCAACACAGCTCTTGCAGTGGTCTACCATCATGTCTTTCATCTCACCCTACATGTACCAGCCGCGAAGATGGGATGGCTTACCGTGGGAAATCCGTCACCCGATCCTCGAAGCCCTGATAAAAGACGGCTGCAAACTGGCTCGCTTCGCTACAGTGTCTCGAGAGTGGCAAATGGAGATCGAGCGACACACCTTCGCCCGAATCAAACTGACACCATCTCGCCTCGCTGATTTTCGTTCCATGGTTCATCGCAACTGGGCTGTCGTCCGTTATATCTGGTTCTGCTTGGAGCTTGATGGCTACGACTGCACCAAGTGCGCGCCTCGTCATATAGACCCGGAGTGTTTCGAGAAAGTTATGGTTGTCGATACCGATACGTGTCCTATCACGGCATCGTTCCAAAACCTGTTCTCGATTCTCAGCACATGGGAACCCAGTGGCCATTTGATCCTCGACATCAGCATTTATTCGCCGAGCGATTCAGAACATTGGTTCAAATACTTGACCTTCCTGCCAGATCATGCCAGTGCCTTGCAGACAATACCGACCAAAGCCTACGATGGTTATGAGCACGGCTGGATGTGTGGTTCTCGAGACGCCCCCCCGCCTGAAGATGCAATACGCAAAATCTTCTTCGGGGTTACTGGTGGACCATTTGATAGCAATGATGAAGAGTTTGCATGGTGGGATCAGCTTCCATCCGTCCCGGCGGTAACCAGCTTGCTTCTCTGACAACAAAACCGCCGGAGATGGAAACCTAGGGTGCTCGCACACATGTTTGCCCGTTTCCCCAGGCTCCATGAACTTCACTACGAGCTCTGGAGAAGATGGCATCGGTGCCTGCAGAAGAGAACCGACAAAGGTGAGTCACTATCGCTGCCATTGAATCTACCCCAGCTTACCGCTAATAATCATCCGTCTTGATGGATGGAACATCTAAAACTCCATGATCTTTTCAATTCCATCCAACATTCCAACATTCATCTCAAGAAACCTGTGGTCTTTGAAAACTTCAACCAGCAATATCCAACTAGTATACAGGATTTTTTGGGGGGGGAGGATATCGCACAATGCGACAGTACTCGCATTCCACGCCGAGCCGTGAGCTGCATGATCGCACTCGCTAGTCTCCCACTCGAGCACCTCGCCGCATCCTTCCTGGTAGATTCTAGACACTTCTTCGCCGCCATCGAGCCCTCTTGGGAGCGGCCGAACTTAACCTCGCTCGTGCTTACCTCCAAGGTGCTGAGGCCTAAAAAGGACCCCGGCCAAATCGGAGCCATGCTTCACGCAGCGGCAGCAGCGGCCATGAGAATGCCACGACTGGAAACAATGGAGATTTGGAACGGAAGAAAAGACCTGGCGGCAGTCTTCCAGTATCAGACGTTGCCACAACGCAACGCACGGCGTGCCACCGTTACTTGGAGAGCTACATGGGAATTTACCATGGAGCCTTCGTTGATCCGTATGACGGACTTGCGATGGAAAGCAGGTCTTCAACATATATATGGTGCAATTCGAAAGATCCAACCAATCGTGGTGTGGATTTTCGACATCCTTTTGGAAGGTTAGCGCATTGGCCAATTGCATCGCTATGCGAGAGCCGTCACAATCCGGGCTTGGGAAGCCGTCGTACATCGTCGATATGATGATAACTGGAGCCTCGGTGTAGTGAACGAGTGGCTGGATCTCGCTGCTATCAAGTCTCACGGTGATGCGATTCCCTCCCTAAAACTTTCAGGCCAGGTCATTCGGCCTGTCTCGTTACAACAGATTCAGAGGGAGCAGAAGGCACTGGAGGGCGTAAAGACCGTGAAATAATGAAGAGAAACACCCCTTGCACCTTTTGAATTTAATGTCTCTACAACCTTAAAACCTGGTTTAGTATATATATATTATAAGAAATTACAGCGATATATATGCTTTTGTATGTGTCTTCATCTTTTTAAAGGGCGTGATTTCTTTTTTTATTTAATTAAACACCTTAAAATAAAATCTCGACACTTACGTATATATTATTAGTAGCATGTGTTAATTAATTTAATGGCATGAATGCTTAAATCAATTAGATGCGTTGCTTTCTTTTATCTATGCCTTTTTTAATTATTCCTATGCGTGGAGGACTGAATTGGCAGGCGTTCATCGGAAAAGATCATGGCCCACCTGATAAGGTCTTGGAGATGATTCACAAGGTGTAAGAGGCGTTTCTCGTAATGAAACGATATATATGTGACGGAGGGGTTTCTGTAGGGATGATGGCGGGTCGGCAGTCTAATGTCTAACATATGCGTCTAGTATACCAACCTAGGTACCTCGTATTGGTGATATGAAGATCCAGTTTTGGTTCTAGAACGACTATAGAGCGGATTAGGCGTCTACCTAGGTACATACACGTGCATGTAAGGCTTGAAGCGAAGGGAGTGATCTTCCAGTGTATGAGAGAGGGGCATGAAGGACATGGAGATGGGCGATGACGGGAGGCTGTACCTAAACTCCACAGCATATACATAACAGCAAAGAAGAAAAAAATGACAAAAACATACAACACCAGGGATTCCCCAGTGGTCACCCACCTGAGTACTGGTCTGGCGATTGGTAGCTTATCGATGGGAGAGCGGACGGGATTCCGAGTTTTCTACTATCTATGGTCGTATGTGATAGTTTCAAGCCAGTCTCTCTCCTTTCATGAGGACCTTGACCTTGCCCTCCCTTCCTATCTTCCCAACTTGTCCCAGACACTGACGCACCGCGGCGTACTGCGCATGCCTGCTTGGCCTACGCAGATTCAAGCATGTCTAGAGGGGTGCGTGAAGTGGTGGTAAATAGGTAGGCTACCAGTTTGTTGAGGTCATGAATCGCGGCACAGAGCTTTGTACACGAGAAAGTGCTGTCGTTGGAGTCTCGAACCCCCACAGTTTGCACAGCTCGAGAGTTTAATAATGAGCCCTGGCATCCGTCATCGTGATAGTATCGATCAATGCCATGCCGGATCTGCGGTTAGGAACGGTGTTGGCCTGAAATGTGAAGACTGCTATGACTGGAGATCTGTGGTGAACCAGGTGCATCCTCTCTCACAGCAAAAAGGAGATCACATTGAAGCACTGATGGACTTCCCTCTGACGCAGTGGCAATCCCGTGAGCGGGCCAGGTCAATACCTGCCGACCAGAAGCGGCAATGGGAGGCGACTGGGCGGGAAGCAGCATGCATGGCCCCCGGGAACCACTGCTGCCGGGAATCGCCTCTCTTGCATATGTCTCCTGCCGCCGGTGTCATTGGAATAACTCTGGCGCCTGTTGTTGGGTCCAGATACCGCTCATGGGGCTGGAAGACCAGCAAACTCTTTGATCTCAGCCCGATTATGTCACTGAAAGAGAGCAAGTCCGTCATCTCGCATGCTTGTTTGAGGTTGGAGAAACCCATCATGTCCTGGAAGTGGAACACGAGACAACAGGAACAGCTACTCGGTATTCCCGAGTGCTTGGGACTGCAACGTGAAGCGTGGAAGCGAAAGACCCTTCCAGCCAGCATACCAGCCCTGGAAGGGATTGAGCAAGTCAGTACGTACGAGATATTCTTCTTCTGGAAAAGGCTCAACGAGAGCAGTGCTTGTGCCGCCACTCGCTAACTGTCAGCTTTAGCTTTCTCCACGCTCTGGAGAAGAAAAAAGCTTTCTCCTAGGCTGGGGAAAATCAAACAAGACTCGAGCTTGTTGCTGAGCCGTTCGTTTCTTTCTTGGCCTTCGTCGCAACCCATGCCGTCGACATGTCTCGACCTCTTGGCACCGATGAACGTGGGTTTGCCAAGGTGGTATTGAGAATTTGAGTGCCTGTGGTCAGCACACACCAGGCCGAACTGGGAAAAGAGCACGGATGGAGGAGGGGTGGCGCGGAAGAAACAACTTCAAAGGACGATTGATATTGGCGGCAAGTCCCGGTGAATCTGAGATTTCCTTCCCAGGGTGCATCTTTTGAAAACTGCAGAAGGAAGCGAAGCTAATGCGGTGTGCCCACGCTAGAAAAGGTGCAGGCAGACAGCA